GTAAGAAGTTGTTAAACTCTGAAACTATGAATGTGCTAAATGATGTTAAGTCTGAAACCCTTGAACATGATAAAACTGTAGAGTCTAATGAATATGTTGTTCCTACATCCTTCGGAAATCATGATGAGTCTCGGCGAGATCCTCCTGCCAAGATTCAGAAGGATCATCCTAAGGACCAAATCATAGGAGGTATATCTGAACGTAACACTAGAGGAGTTAATCCTGATTTTGGTAAGATTGCTCGTTTGTGTCACCTTGCATGTTATGTGTGTAAGTTGGAACCGAAAAATGCTAAAGAGGCTCTGTGTGATGATTTTTGGGTTCAGGCTATGCAAGAAGAACTTGAACAGTTTGTGAGAAATGAAGTGTGGGAACTTGTCCCTAGACCTTCTGATTCGAACGTTATTGGAACGAAATGTATTTTTAAAAATAAGACGGATGGATCGAGGGAGATTACTAAGAACAAGGCCCGCCTTGTAGTTCAGGGGTACACCCAAGAGGAGGGTGTTGACTTTGATGAGACATTTGCCCCTGTAGCTCGGCTTGAGTCTGTTAGAATGTTCTTATCTATTGCGTGTTTGCTTGGTTTTGTGATTTATCAAATGGATGTAAAATCTGCATTTTTGAATGACTTTTTGAAAGAGGTTGCTTATGTTAAGCAACCTGAAGGGTTTGTAGACCCTCATCACCCTGACCATGTCTACAGGTTAAAAAGGCGTTGTACGGACTTAAACAGGCTCCGCGTGCCTAGTACGAGCGTCTAACCCAATTTTTTTGTCAAACTAGGGTACGCTCGAGGGGGAGATGATAAAACTCTGTTTGTTAGAAAGTCTAATAAAAATATTATCATTGTACAAATTTATGTAGATGATATTATCTTTGGGTCTACCTCGAGAACCCGGTCAATGAATTTGTTACTCACATGTCTAAAGAATTTGAGATGAGTATGGTAGGAGAGATGTCCTACTTCTTGGGTTTGCAAGTCAAGCAATCCAAGGAAGGGATATTTCTTCATCAGACCATGT